ATGCTAATCTGGCAGTGGTGGCCTGCCGTGAAGGGCAAAGTCTCTCCGTAATTAAATAGAGACAGACAGAAAGATGGTATTAGGATATCCAATTAGACACACCAATTCATTAAAGTGCCCAATAACACACCACATTATAAACATATGGGGAAGATGGTATAGAGCTGTCCAATTAGACACACTGGATCATTAACATAACCAATCACATGCTCCTTTATATACATACAGGAACATGGTATAGTGCTGTCCAATTAAACACATTGCTTCATTAAAGTGCCCAATCACATGCTCCATTATAAACATACAGGAAGATAATGTAGAGTTGTCCAGTTAGGCACTCTGCATCATTACAGTGCCCAATCACAGACCACTTTATAAACATACAGGAAGACATAATATACAACTACTATGATATAGACCTATTAGTTGCTACCTTAAAAAGCCACAGTGTGAACATATGACTGGGGAAGGATGATGTCGACATCGAGAGGCACGGGGGGGACAGTGCGGGATGGACACTCATCCCACATCTCCATCACATATCACGTCTCCTTCACATCCCATGTCTCCTTCACATCCCACGTCTCCTTCACCAGCACAAGCCCATAAAGGGGTCCAGCCCCCGCCATTGGCAGAACCAGAAGGAAGTCAGAGACCAGGAAGACATCCTGTGGTCCAAGTCAGAAACTGGACCTGGGCTGGCGTTGGGCTTCCGCTGACTGTCTTCTAATCATTGATATGAAAATAAACTAAAACCTGTTTGGTTTGAATCTTTGCTTTACTCTGTTTTCCCTGTAAAATAAAGAGTGTTTTTCTGTTGTCTGTCTTGTTTTTTTTATGTCATAGCGATCCCCAGGGAAAGCACGCGATGATTAATGAAACCAATGTCCTCTGTTGTGTTTTGCAGAGGCCTCGTGGGGGGTAGGGGCATCATTGGTGTTGCCACGGCAACCACTTACGCACTGTCCCCTTCCAAAGCCCTTCATTTTAAGGGTTATACGGCCTGAAAATGATGCTGGTCCATTAGGCGTTTTTGATCAGTTCGTTTTGGGTGGGGGCGGGGGCGGGGGCGGGGGGGGGGGGGGGGGGGGGGGCCCCGGGAAATCGATGTGACATGGCCTTATACGGGGCGGCGTGTCTCAGGTGTTGTACACTTTCGCTGGAGTCCGGTGTAAATGAACACACACGGCCACTTCCTCTGTGTACCACTGCTTACAACCCTAGATATGCAATAACAGGATCTAAACACAGCTGCTGCTTGCTCTGAATTCAGCTTATCAGCTCGTTATCTGATTTATGTCCACAGGGTACGGAAAGAAACTGCGGTGCGAGTCACTCCCCGATGACACCGATCTTGGGCTGAACATTACCGCCGTCATCCCCTGGATTTTTGCCAGTGATGATTCCCCACCTGCAGGAGGTGCTGCGCATCAGAGCAGAGCTAAGCCTGTCCACGGGTGCGAGTTGAGCTGGTTGGCATTAACCTCAGCTACACTGAGAAGCTGCTTGACGTGTCGTCTCAGCGAGACCGAAGCCTGAATTCCAGTGTGAGGGAATGCCAGAGTGAATAAAGCCAGACAGAACTTCTGTTTTACGGGACTCGTATTCACTTACGGTGCTGCTGTGCTTTGTGTCTGTTCTCCACCTCCTTAGAGAAGTTCTCCGTCGGTAGCGCTGATGAACTTTCCGTGTTGCTAGAGTCTTAGGGTCCCATGCTTATGATCAGAAGGTCATCAGCTCGAATCCTGCTGTCAGCAGGCCCTCGAGTCCCAGCTACTCCGGAGACTCTGCTTCCTTAAACTGTACACCACTTTTACTCAAAGTGTTTCCTAAATAATGAAGATGTGTGTGTGTCCTGCCTACAGTATCACTGATGATGTTCTAGCCTTTATCACCATACTAAGGAGAGGAATGAGGGACGAAAAAGACTGCTGTTATTTATTTTATTTTTTTTCAAACTGACTCAGCAGTGAAACCTTTCTGCCAGCTGCAGCCCTGGTACTGATGCAGTCTGGGAAATCGGCCATGGGTTTTGTCAGTAGGCTTGTGGTCGACCTCCAGGTTCAGCTAAATGAGGACTCTGTCTCTAACGCAGGCAAAGTGTCACACAGCTCACCTTTCCCTCCCTATTAACTGAGGAGGATACAGTCACCATTTTAATAAGCTGAAACCAGAACAGTGAGAACACTCAAATAGCGTCAGATGCAGTCAGATCATGTGACCACGTGGAACCGTTTGTTGGTGTGTTGGGGTCTGATAAAAAAGACCAGTTGATTTTCATTTTCATAAACAATGGAGATAATCATAGAACAGCATACACACACACACACACACAGACACCAGTAATGACTATTATTACTACTAATAATACACATATTGCATTAATATTCCAAAAAAACAATAGTGTCTTATATGTAATTTTTATCATATTTTAGCAGACTTGGGCCTACGTCAAATCAAAAGCCTAAGGTAGTTAGCAAGAATTACAATAGATCATGACAGCTAATTGGAATTGAATTTTTGAGGCTAATCCTCTTCAAATCCTGTAAAAACATCCAGCACAATAAGACTTAATTAAGTCCTCTACTGTGTTCGGCCTCCCCGCGTCTTTAACAAGCGCTTTGATTCGCCGCCCCGTCATTTCAAAACAGCTGACGGGACATTTAAAAGCGGTGACAAAGAGTGACGGACGTTCCGATGCCGGTCTGTTCCGCGTAAGATACGGTTTTGCGAAAAGCTTTGATGGACACTGCTTGTTTTATAGGGCTGGACTGTGCGCAGCTGCCTTTCACATTTACCACGCGACACTGGCTAATAAAGCATGATCAGGACTTTAGTTCAAACGTAAACTAAATTACGTTTATTATTAATTTTTTTTTTTATGTTGATGCTTTTAAAATGTTCAGCGTGATCCATACTCTATCTAGTTTGTCACTTACGCAAGCTAAAAATGCCCACATTTTGTGAGGGTTTCCTACCCATGGCTGCCACAGGAGGCGTAGCTAATGTAAAGTGCACAGATTGGGCTCAAATGCAAACACTTCGTCCTGCTACTGGCTTTTGATCTGGATAAGACCTTAGACAGGCTCCTCTGTTGTACCCTTGAGCTAAGTATCTGAATTGTTTCAGTAAATACACTGGTGAGTGATGAATGGATGCCATGGATGTCAATGATGAATGGTAAACTTAAAGCTACGTGACTTGTTAACAGATGCTTTGATGGTTGGAGGCCATCGCGATGCTGACGTGGGTACCTGGTGTAGCTGTTTTCTGTCTCCCCCTAGAGGTGACGCTTGAGCATTGCTGCTGTGATAACACTCTCGCAAAATCTTCATGCCATTTGCTGGTCCTCAGCATCAGGGTGGAGGCTGGCCCAGGATCAGTGAGGAGTACCACAGAGCCACAGCCCGCTGCTCTGAGAATCCGCTGGGGTCCGAATCAGAAGACCTCGTCAGGAGGTCCAGAACTGCTCTGCTATCTTTGAATGGGATCCATCATAGACTGATCAGTACATGCAGTGTTTAGTAGATAAGGTCATGAGCTTGTGACAGGGGATTGTTGATCGAGTCCTGGGGGTGGGGGTGCTTTTATGTCTTACCGGATGGTACTTGACAGGAATCTCTCTGATTGGGTAAAAATGTAAGTAAAAAGTAACATTGTAAATCTTTAGGCTGCTGAGGAATTTGAGAGTGTTTGGACATCTGGTGCATTGGAAGCCTACCGCAAACAGGACATGAAAAAGCTTTACGTCCGTATTTTCTGTCATATGCGAAATATGAGGAGGTCCAGGTCAGTGCACAGTCTCAGCGTGACGGGGATCTTTATGGGCCTCTGCTGAAAGCCGTTTCTAACACAAGCAGCTGGCCAGAGGCGAGCTAATTAAAGGCACAGCGAATTCTGCTGGCTCGCGAGTGACTGCAGCGCACGTCCACTAGGACGGGATACCACCCTCTACAAACGCAGGTTTAATGCGGCATTGCATCCCACTATGAGACACGCAAGTCAGTCTCAGCTTCCCGCTTATGAGTCCGTTGGGATTGCCTTCTTTTTATCATCTCTGTGTCGCTGTATTAGACGATTATACGGGTCGGCGTTCGTTTTATATGTAAATGACAATAATATATTAGTAGAAAGTAATGGAAAGGAGAAATAACCTTGGGAATGACAAGCATGTCGGGTTGTTTTAGTGAAAAACATTTAAAGGGCTCGTCTGATGACGCACTGTTTGAATTTTGCAGAGATTTGTGGATTTTCCCTTTAATTGGCCCATGATTATTTCCCCTCCTTCAGTAACCGTGACAGTTTACTTCGCTCTTTCCCCTCCGACATTAAAGCCGCAGGTGACACTCGTTTTAATTGTTTTTTGAGTGAATGAATAAATTATCACTATTAATTAGAAAACAATATTTTATATTACCTTTAGATACATCAACTAATACCAGTTGCATAACTGAAACTGCTCTCTTCTTCTGGTTTCGGATTTTATAAATACACGCTCGCACACTTAAAAGGGTGCGCAGAATTAGTCTGCCTGCCTTATGACGGTGACTGCTGTCATTGCCATGGTTGGTCATGGTTGTCATTTCACTCATATCAACAAGGGTAAATTAAAACCCATTGCAGTATCAAACTGCCCATCTGAGTAGACATGACTAATGAAAAACTGCAAATTAATAAGTATCCAGCTTATTAATCATTAGTTGCTCTAAGAAAGTAAGTTGCAGAAAAGGTTAATTCATTGTGTAAATTGTGGAAAAGCAGGAGTTCGACAGGAGCGAGAAATGTGCGTAGCTCTCGAATGAAGATCCGTGCATGCGTTTAGCAGTAATGATGGATTGCTGCTACCTTTCAGCGTTAATTAGAGATGATTAGACCTTTAGTTCTTACAGTAAGCTGCGGTTTTCACCAGGTGATTTAACCTTTGATTAATGAACCGCATGTGCGACCTGGCAAGTTTGAGTGTAATACAAGAGCGACACCTCGTGGTTAAAATAGGTACCATTCGCCCTACAGTATGTATACAAAAACATATAAGCTGAAGGTAAGCTAAATATCCAGCCGTGCTTGAATATGGAAGCGAACAACACAAAAAGATTTCTCCACCACCAAACTCTTTATATATTGCGATAAGCATTGCATTGGTGCTCTGTTGATCATTGCATATCGATGTAAAATGGAGAAATTCCCTGTTTTTTACTTGCTAGTTCGGCTATATGGCACTGCTGGGTAATAGGCTACAACTCAAGAAGCAAACTACCACTAAAACGGTAGATCGCTTTGTAAGCTACGGCAAAAGTGATATGAGGTGTTAAGTCAGTTTTAAGTCAGCCTGGTTCTATCTTCGGGGTATTCGTGTGGATTGTGACCGTCATTTGGTTGTTTTATTTATTTATCTGCATGGTTGCCTTGCAGTGATCAAGGTCCCACTGGAATTTGAGAAACCAGTGCGGCCGTGGTCTGCCGACAGATCAAAGCGACGTCGTGCACGTTGATGCCATGGCTAATTTTAGGGGGAGAAATTTGGGGGGTGGGAGATGCAAGAATTATAAGGGTATATCTTCTTAGTAAACTGTTGTGATTGGGGATTTCGTTTTATAGAGTACCTACTGTGAAGAAGAAGCTGCTATTATTTTTGCCACTGCGTTGCTGGTTATTCTGCATTTAGGCAGCGGTTTCACCAGCTGTCTCCCTCTTCCATTTATATGTGTGAAACCAGGAACCCTTGTGCTACAGCTAATATTTAACCTCTTCGCCATCTGCAGCTCTCCTGTTTCACGGAGAACCTGAGAGCTTTAACCCTGAGTCTTTTCTTGAAATCCAGCTTGACCTACAGCAGCTATCCAAGCAGTCGACTCAACTCTTTGACTCAAAGTAGTGTGATTCCCTAAGTGTGCACTTACACTGAAACGATTTGCACACCTCACTCACCTCTGATGAATGCAGGGCATTTATTAGCCATATTCGCTAGCCATGTGGGCATTTTTAATAGTATGGCAAGTACAGGTGTCTGCAATGACATTAATGAAGCTTTCTTTAAATTTCATTGTAGCATATTTGTAACCTTAATTAATGTTATTACTGACACCTGTGCTTGTTATACTATTTCATGTCAGTTTGGCTGCCATTAAAAAGGCCCATTAGTGATATGAAACCATGTAACGCTACATTTACGTCAAGATATCTCAGCAACACCTTAAAACCCAAAGACCATATTTCTGGAGATGTTCATGACATTATGAGCTAGCTTTAGTAACAAATTGATCAATTTTGAAATATAGTGTTTTTTTGTTATTGAATTTTCAATATCTTAATCAGTAATTATTCATATGTGGATGGCATATTATTTGTTCAATCTATAGAGATGGACAATAGCTTTAAAACAATATAAGGACCACTTCTGTGCAGCTTATATTAAGGTAAATATGATGATGATGATAATAATAATCGATACTTTATTGATCCCCTTGGGGAAATTGTCTTTACGCCGCCCTCAACTTGCTATTTTTCATGGAGTAAGTTGTCCGTGAAGCCAAACAAATATATTTATATATAGCCAGTCTAAGTCATAGTCCCCTCCCCCCCCAAAGAAAAAAGTTAAAACCTTGTTTGCTTAAATCTCCCTCAATATTGATCCAAGATACGCCCAATTTCAAAAATTGGCATGCCAAGTCTCGTTACAATCCGCGACGATGAGGTCCGAAAGTGTGATGATTTGACATGGAATGACCCTAAACATACATACTGTATACTTTCTTCTAGGAAGTAAGAAGCCGCAGCAGCAGGCAGACACAGACTGACCTTTGGGGGGCTTGCGGCAGAGGTGGCACTGAGGAGAATGTGTGGTCACAGTGGCTCGCTTTGGCTGGGCCGTCGCCCATCGTGGAGAGGCCAGGTATATCTGATACCCCCAGGGTTCCGGCTATGAAGCCGCCTCCATTCTGGATGTACGCATTTGACATGTCCTCCCAGTGTTCCCAGCAGGTTTGAGAGGTTGATCTTTATTAAAAAAAGATTTTTGAAGATTTATGTAGGTAACCATTAAGTCATCTAACGCACGTTTCCTCATTTGTGTTTTACCTAATGGCCCCTTGTCGCTTGTAGGTCATGGGATCTGCCACTAGGGGCAGACTGAATGAAAGAATGCATGAATTGCATTTATATAGCGTTTTCAAGATACCCAAAGTGCTTTACAGAATCAATGGGGAACCACTTCAACCACAACCACTGTGTAGCCCCCACCTGGATGAAGCGATGGCAGCCGTTCCGCACCAGTACGCTCACCATAGAGTAGCTAAGGTAGTGAAGGGGCAGGAGAGAATTCACCAGTTCACCACCGACGGCAGTAAATTATTTGAGCCAGCTAAAATGTCCCAAACTAGCCAGCAAGGAAACTAGTGAAATAATGTGTGAATCAGAAGAGGAATGAAGCTGAAATCCGCAAGCCTAGTTAGATGTAACCAGATCTGAAGGCAACATTTTATGGCATGATGTCGTTTAAGTGTTAAGCTATTTTAACCCTGTGTCAACTGTATAATGTATATCGTCTGATAATTTAATTTCAAGCCACACTTTAGACTTTTTTGTTGTTGCTGCTGGCGTTTCTGTCTTGTGGGTAACTGAATAAAAAAAATGTTTTGTGTGTATTCAGCATAGCTGTGGTACATGTCTGGTACATGTGGATTGTAGAAATAACATAAAGCCAGACTATTCCTCCAGTTTTCACTACTACTGAGACGTCCAGACAACATACAGTACTGATCTTTGTTGAAGACTGATCAGATGACTGTTCTTTATACATGTAATACCTTTACGCAGAAATTCCTATGTATGTCACAGGGTGATATGTTCAGAAGGCAGGAATGAGAAGATATCAGCAACCTGGCAACAGAGCTGCCAAGCCTCCAGCCCAAATCCCACCACAGCCCAGCTGTTGTACCTTTGCACATTTCATATAACCCAAACAGCTTCAACAGAATATTAAAGTGTCTGTGACTTTGAGTAGATAAGATAAGGAACTGAGTGGGATATTGTGTCATTATAGGCAACCTACAGGGTTGCCAGACAGAGGTATTTCATGGCAACTCAGCTTTGTAGCTGTCCAGTGTTTATATCAGGCCTTTGCTGCTGTCACACCACTGGAAGGAGCTGAAAGTCCAGGCCTCAGTTTGCATCCAGGGCTGGAGTCCCCGGTCAGCCCCGGGATGCTGCTGAAATCCAACCCCAGGCTTTAAGGCCTGCTTACGTCCTCTAGTAGACAAGCAGATAAAAAATGCTAAAGAAATTGTGTGTGTGAAGGTGGGGGTATTTCATCTCAAGACTGTCCAAACATCCTCCTTTGTTTTTCTTTTTAAACTGGACATACACAATCGCGGCGACAGAAATTGAGGTTCTGAAAGTTTCTGCTGGAGGGAATTACGACACATGACACGTAGCTTGGAAATTTTGGAGGCCTGGTCAAGTTTGAGCTGGACCCACCTTCAGCTCTGAGGTGTGGGGTGGGTAGGGAGGGGGTCTTGGGAAAAAAACTCAAAAGAAATGCCCTAAAATGTGATCCAGCTTCCTTCCTAAGCACAATAATAGAAACATCTGTGATTGGTTGGGATTTGCCCAGCCTTGAGATGGACTGAGCCTGAAATTGGTTGGAGGGTTATTTTTAAATGTTCAGAAATTAAACGGAACTACACTCATAACTGTGTATGGAGAGCCTGCTGACATAGGGAGGGGCTAATTGAGACCTTACGTGGCTGTATCTCGGCTGCATATCTGCATGCTCAGTCAGCACCACGACATCTGACTCGTCTGGAAGCCCAAAGTGTCAGAGCAGGACGGGGTGCCAGCGGAACTTTCCGGGTGTCAAGGGCAACGTGGTGAGTCTGCTCATTCGTTTCTGCAAAATAATCCCACAGTCTTATCAGTTTTGATTAACTATGATGGCAAGTGCTTGTGTTTTCATTGGGGTACTGATTAAACAGAAATGGAAAAAAATAACTTCTGAAATAACTCTGTAAAAATTCAGATTATATCTGCTTTGGATTTATGTACATCCCAGAATCAACAGCGATACAGAGCTTTGTGATTCTGTCTGTGAAAGACGCATTAGAAATAAATTATTTACTTATTTATCCAGAATAAACAGCACCAGGGGGGTAATATTATTTCCATTTTACTGTGTGTCAATGCAGGGACTTTTTGTGCTGGTTTGAGGGCAGCTGACTCGTTATTCTCATTGTCTGGTGTGAAATAACCTATTAACCCTGCGATCGTAGCCCTTAGCGCCGTAAACCTTTTGGCTTAATTCAAGCAGTAAGTAGAGATGTAAGAATGGCACAGGTGGCCATCGACCATGCATGTCTGACTGCGGTCGTCAGTCATGATACTGAAACCGGCACCGGAGGCTGCGATGCAGCCGCCGAGGGGAAGTGTGGTGGCGAACTCTTCACAGGAATGAAGATACCTTTGTTTGACAAAGATAAAAATGGTGAATAAAAAAAGTGATGAATGCTTCCTCATTTCAGTTAAATCCTCAAACAAACCTCCAAGACACTTTCAAAGTACCTTCTTCCTCTTAAACCATGAGAGAACAGCATGTATTACGTTCAGATAACTAGACACTAAATGATTGAGTGACTATATACTCCCCAGGCTACACAGTCCCCAATTATCTCATGCTTTTGATTCTCCTTCTGGCTACAGTGACAGGTAGAGCATCGCCAAAATGCTCAGGAACGGCAGTGACGTGGCGATGACCAGCTGGCAGGTCAAGGAGACTCACCTGGAGAACGTCCTCTTTGCTTCCTTCTACATCGTGATCTTCATCTTCGCGGTTCCAGGAAACGCCTTGGCTCTGGGCGTTTTCAGCCGACAGAAGAAGATCTCACCCTCCAAGGTCTTCCTCATGAATCTGGCTGTGGCGGATCTCTCCTATGTGATGGTTCTGCCCATGCGTGCCACCTACCACCTCATGGACAATGACTGGCCCTTTGGGGAGATCCTCTGCCTTCTGATTGGGTACCTCTTCTACCTTAACATGTACTGTAGTCTCTTCTTCATGGCCTGCATCAGTCTGGACCGCTTCCTGGCCGTTGTCCTGCCAGTCAGGTCTCTGGTGCTGCGGCAAAGGCCCCTGTACACACGTGTGGTCAGCGTCGTCTTGTGGATCTCCTTGATTGTTTGCTCGGCCCCCATGCTGCTGTCCAAGAAGGTTCTAAAGGTGGACAACTTGACCAGGACAGTGTGTGGCCAGCTCTACCTGGAGAAGACCTCAGCCAAAGCACTGCTGCCCACAGCCGTGGCTTTTCTGCTCCCCAGCATCATCATACTGGGTTCCTACATCCTGATACTCCATCGTCTGTGGAGCCTAAGGCAGCCAGGAAAGAAGTCAGTGGAGAGGAAGGCGGTCAAGATGATCACATTGATCCTTCTGAACTTCTCCATGACTTTCATCCCCTACCACATCAACCGCTTTATCTACATCCAGGCCTGCAGACGGGAAGACGTAGACATGGCCTCCATCGTGTTCAGCAACAGGATCACTTCATCCTTGACTTGTCTCAGCGGAGTCTTGGACCCAGTTTTATATTTCTTTCTTGCCAAGACCTACCAGAGATCCTTGGTTCAACTTTTCTGCAGGAGACAAAAAAGGCAAAAGAAGCAGAATGTCAATTCTGCTTCCAGCTAATTAGTGACTGCATTCAGCTATGAAGCGAAGTGACTCATGTTTCATGCTTTTAGGTCCTTAACCCCAGTTGCTCTGGGGATCAGTGAGACTCTGCTGTCTGATCTTCACTCAACAAAATAAATTTTAAAGTACATATATCAGCCAGTGCCTACTGTGGCTGACCTACACCTGCTACTCTAACAGCTGTTAATGAGTAAATAAAAAATGTACTAGTAGAATCTTCATGAACTTGTTTTGGTGCAGTATTAATTACATATACTTATTTAAGTTATTTCTTGGACATTGTTTGAAATACAAAAATGTTTAATATGGGAAGTGACAGAGGTGGCTAGTTCAGATCCAGAAAGTAAAAATCCAGACCAAAATTTTATTTCAACCAACCAGTTGAGTACTCTGTCACTCATTCTTTCTACCCAACTGGATGGTTGAAACAAAATCTTCATCTGGATATTTATGGATCTGAACTTCCACCTCTGGGATGTGGGACTTGGGTAAGCATCAACAAAGCAGTGAATGGGATTTCTAAGCTGCTTTTTCAGGGACTACAGGGGATGAACGGCTCACCTTCCTAACAGACCCCAAGCTTCACTCTTCCCTGGGTTTGTGTGAATGTTTTTAAAAGGACAGCAAGATAGGATATGTGAAGATGGACACATTCCAATGTACCTGTTCTCAATCTTGTATAAATGGCAAACAGCAAATAAAGCTTCATTTCATTTTATTTCATTTAATTCCATTTCTGACTTAATAAATTTTTCAAGCAAACTTTCATCAATCACCAAAGTGAGAGGAGGTTTGAATCAAGTAATTAATTAATTAATAGATAACACAAGCGAGCTTTAATGCAACGTTTTACCCTCAGTTGACTCGGGGCCAAAACACAAACAAATTTAAAAAAAACGCCAGTCAGTCGGCCGGTTCGGTTTGGGCTGGCTGAGGACCCGTAGTCTGATATGCTGGTTACCGGGGCAGCCGGGAAGCCGAGGTTAGATTTTGGAAAAGTTATTTTTTTGCCATCGCCCGAAAATGTCATCTTAGCCAGTATGATTACCAACTAGTTAAATAAAAAAACAGGTTTCTTCTTTTCGGAGCTAGTTAACATAGTGTTCACTTAGTGAATTGCACTCGCTGTTCACAGGGAAATGAGAGAATTTAGTGACTCAATATAGAACTTTTTCCTCATTACGGTATGTGCTGACCGTGCTGCCTTTACTGTAAGTCAAATGAACCTCTTGGGTAAAAATTACTCAGGCTTGAGTAACTTTTATTCATCATCATGTGTGTGCATGCCATCTCATGTCTCTCCGTGTCCAAACCGTGTGACGGGAAACCATTAAATTCCTACTTTTCAACGTAATCTACACTTTATTTCGTTTTTTAAAAAGCGATCTCTTCCTACATGTCACAAGGGCCTCCGCGTTTTAATTGTTGACACAGATAGGATTTTTTTTAGGCGTAAAGATAACGGGAAATTGGTCTTCGTGCACGTCGGCTTTCCTCCAGTGTTCGTCAATTACGCTGCAAGGAAGCGTCAGTCACAGCATGACAGTCATTTGTTATATCTAATAATTAATTACCCATATGCAACACGCGCCGGAACGATGAAATGACATTTTATACGTCGCACACCAGCAGTTTTGATTAACATGTTTATAGGTCTCACGTTAATTTATATAACCAATTAGAAGAAAATAATCTTCTTTCTTAAACGATTTGACAACTTCTAATAGCAAGGCCAGTGAACTGAGTTTAAGTTATAAACGACTTAATTTTGTTTATTAAGGGTATAACTAACTTTCAAGGCGTTCCATTCCGTCGAACTGGAATAAACAAAATGTAATATTTGTGTTTTCATTCAGGTTTCACGCTGATGGTGTTCGGTTTATATTTAGTAAGTGAGAGGAGGTGTTACATTTTACTATTACAATCCAGACACGAGGTGTATAACAATACCAGGAAGGCAAAGACCGTGCGTGCTGGACTTTCCCCCCAACTCGGGACGTAATGAATCATGGAAATCATGGGATTGTTCTCCTTGCACCCGGACAAGAATGACATCAGGGGATTTTTACTGCCCTCTGTACTTCTGTTCTTGAGTACTGGAATTGTACTTCGGCAATGAAAGTTGGCATTCGGGAATACAAGAACCGTCAAGTGTGCATATTGATAAACAGCCATGCTTTCATGTACCCCCCCCCTAAGTGATCTCCTCTTTCTCACCACTCTCCCACACAGCCCAGCAGTATGCTGTTTAAAAGGGTGTACCTTCACTGTACTGTAGCTCCTTCAGAGTGACTGTTGGCCTCATTGTGGCTTCTGCATTTAGCCATTTGTGTGGTTGCTTGAGGGACGTTCTGGTCTATGCCTGTGGGGACTTTGTGTCGTAGGGTTGGGGATGTTAAGCTGCTGATCTTTTTTTGTGCCCTATTCTTACTTTATGACGTAACGTTCTTAAAATGTTCTTTATTCTGTAGGACACACAGGGGTTGAATACTTATGCAAGCAGCATTTCCCAGCTTTTTGAAGAAGTTTTGCTGACTTTGCAACATGACTGCGGTAGCGACTATGAGTGCATGCATCGATCGTAATGCAGCCAAATCTGATGACTTTGAGGTGATGGAGGCTCAATACATTGCAAGCAGCTGTGGTAAAAGCTGTCAGGACAACTGTTATTATTTTAAAGAATGTCGAAGATCATGTGGCGTTTGAGTCCATTTTCCAGGAAAACCACCCCCTTTGAATAGAATAGTGACACATTATTGATTTCTTCATCTACCCCATATTGCTCTCCATGAGACACACAGAGAGGTGACAGCAAGTTCGGAGTCTCAGCACAGGGTCAGCCAGTGTGCAGCACCACTTGAGCTGGGGGTTAAGGGCCTTGCTCAGGGGCACACAGACACGTGGCCACTCTGCCAAGGCTGGGGCTTGAATCAGCAACCTTCTGATCACAGGCACAGAGGTTTAGTGCGACATCTTGGAGGGGTAGTTTGATGTTTTTCAAACCCTTTTTGCTCCCTCTCTCCGCAGTGGGCCCGTCTGTCTGCCTTACAGGGGCCTGCATGTGTCCCGGTCCGGCCCAAAGCTAGAGACGCGCCAGCCTCGGCATGGGCACGGCCTCGTCCCTGGTGGGCCCGGGGGGGGAGGTGATCGAGGACGCCTACGGCGGCGGGGGCGGCGAGGCCTGCGAGATCCCTGTGGAGGTGAAGCCCAAGGCCCGTCTTGTGCGCAGTTCGTTCCGGCGCGGGCCGCGCGCCATCGGCGCCAGCTTCAAGTCCACCGGTTCTGTCGACCTGGAGTACAGCGCGGAGCTGGACCGGCTGCGCAAGGACTACGAGATCCTGCGCGTCAGCAAGAGCAATGAGGTGGCGGCCCTGCAGAAGAAGGAGGCCAAGCTGGACGAGGAGAACAAGAGGCTGCGGGCGGAGCTTCAGGTCAGGGGGAGTGTGGAGGGGCGGGGCTTACTAAGTGCCGCTCTACACCCGAACCCTATTGGGCAAATCCTCCGGCTGGGCTTATCTGATTGGCTGTCTTATTTAGGCTGGGAGGGTGGGGACAGGGTCAGCAGAAGGTGCCAAAGGTTATATAAAGCAGTAATATCAAATTGGGACTTTGGAGCATAGCGTACGCTAGAGATTTTGGGCCCCATGAAAGCATATAATGTTGCACCCCCAATCCAGACAAATCCAATTATTTTCCAATTTTTTAACGGCCCTTTTAAGGCACCCATGTGTTGGAGTCAGGGACAGAAGATAGCTCAGGACTGTTGAGATAGACGTTAGCAGTCCTGGTTGGGTTATGGGGGACACACTGGTGCATTATGTCAGGACAGATCAATCGGACCAATCGATGTACTGTAGTTTACTAATCCTGCTCACCCGATACTTCTTTGCGGGGTGGCTGGGGTCTTCTCACCCACTCTGGTCCCGCAGCTGAGCTACCGATCAGTAAGTTGCTACGAGTGTGAGTGGGTACGACTCAAAGGGCCCACATTCCCTATGGCAAAGGCCTGTGTGTCACTAAAGCATTTTCATTGACTGAAAGGTACAGCAATGGGGCCTTTTTGGATTTTGGGCTATGATCCAGGGTTCTATAAGCCAGAGATGCTGGGGGAGAGCGGTGGGCGCTAGGACCTTGGCGAAGCCTGGTCTTCACAGTGATTGCAAAGGCACTACATGTTTAGTTTGTTCACTGCTTGTTGTGATTGGCGGGTTGCTGGGTTTCCCGAATGTTGATTGGCTGACAATACAAGTGTCCTACGTGATGAGTCTGAGGGAACAGTTCATGTTCGGGGCTCCCACAGGCTCTGCAGAAGACCTACCAGAAGATTTTGCGTGAGAAGGAGGGCGCTCTTGAAGCGAAGTACCAGGCGATGGAGAGAGCGGCGACCTTCGAGCATGACCGCGACAAGGTCAAGCGGCAGTTCAAGGTGAGTAGCGCCGTCGGTGGCCAGTGCACGTGCGCCGCCTCGTGGGGGCGCTCACTCGCCCCGTGTGCTGCGTAGATCTTCCGGGAGACCAAAGAGAAGGAGATACAGGACCTTCTGAGGGCCAAGCGGGACCTGGAGGCCAAGCTGCAGCAGCTGCAGGCGCAGGGGATCCAGGTGTATGACCCGGCCGATTCGGACGAAGACGACAGCCCGAGCGGCGCTGCAGGTCAGGGGCGCGACCTTTGGGGGGCGCTCTGAGCAATCGGGCATTATTAAGCTGAGATCATCTGCAGGGATGCACTTAGGAATGGAAAATACTTTCAGCCACATAGAAAAACAGGACATCCGAGGTTTTTTTTTATTTGTACCTTAACCTGTGGTGAGTCAGCGCATTCGTGTTTGCGGTTGCAAGTTTCCTGCAGCTACTGCAGTGTCCTGCTACGACCCAGACCTATGCAGTCAGTCAAACAACTGTCTCTAAATTATCTGTGTGCTCTGTGATGCACTGGCATCCTCTCCAGTGTAGTCATAGTTTTGAATTTTTAATTTAGCTTCGTTTTAAAATTATTCCCAACTTTCATTTGAAATCTTTCATATTTAAATAGCTTTAGTTAGTTTTCATTTGAAACTTTTCATTTGAAATCTTTCATATTTAAATAGCTTCAGTTAGTTTTCATTTGAAACTTTTCATTTGAAAACTTTCATATTTAAATAGTTTTAGTTAGATTTCAACATGGTTTTAATTAAGTTTTTAATTTACACATGTATTTAGTTTTTGTATATTTTATATTTTATAGTTTCATTTTATGCCTTAGTAATTATTCCTAGGGAACTGAAAGTTGTTGAGGTGTTTCATAAATAATACTGAATAAAATATATAACACTGAATAAACATGCATATTTTGTACTAGTGTCCCCAAAAAGGGTAGAACATGTTCCAGGTATTATAATATTAAATTAAAAGTAAACAAATCATTACTTTAGCTAAATAGTATTTATGGTAAATGGTAAATGGTAGGAGAAAGTATTTGACCTTTGTTTTTATGTATTTTTGTTACTTTCGGGAGCAATATTTGTAGTTAACGTTTAGTTGTTTTTCTTAATATCGTATCTTATTTTATTTTGGTTTATGAAAATGTTTACTTACAGTTTTAGTTTTCATTAGTGAGAATAACCCTGACCCCACTATCCCCCCCCGGTCCTCATCCTGGATAAGCTGTATGGATGAATGTGTCCCCCATGTCTGTTTTCTGAAGCCGCAGGGAATCAGTGTGAGTACTGGAGCGGCGCGGCGCTGGGCAGCGAGCCCTCTATGGGCAGCATGATGCAGCTGCAGCAGACTTTCCGGGGGCCTGAGTTTGCTCACAGCTTGATCGACGTGGAGGGCCCGTTTGCCAACGTCAGCAGAGGTAAAGGGTCTTTCGTCGCGCCGTGCCGTCATCCTCATCTCCAGCAGCTGTGATGGAGCTGCATGTGTGCCCTTCAGACGACTGGGACACGGCGGTGGCCTCCCTCCTGCAGGTGTCCCCACACGTCTCCCAGGCCCTCTGGAGCAACACGATACGCTGCTACCTCATGTACACCCCCGAGACGCAGGCCGAGGTTGAGGCTTTCGTCCAGGTGAGCCCCCCCCCTTCCTGCCACACGTTGATTCTACAACAGACGCCACTGCTTCCCCACAGGTGACCGCAGCCTTGCTGACGGGAGACTTCCTGTAGTGACTGCTGTCTTTTGACCTGCAGTACTCCTCCTGACCCGAAGGAGGCGATAACAACAGCATGTGATACCCGCTGTCGAGTTTCCTTTCGGTTCTGGTCTACTTGGAGGTGTCCCTGTGCTCTAGGGCTACGCCCCCCGCCTGCAGAGGCTGTGCGAGGGCCTGGGTCACTTCTTTGTGAGCGTCAGCTTCCCCGCGGACGGCGCCGACGGCTATGTGGCAGAGCGGCGCCAGGAGATCGAACGCAGCTCTGTGTGCGTGCTGCTCCTGAGGGCGTCTGTTACCGGGTAACGGCCCCCTGCTCTGCGCGCTTAGTGTTCACATTCTGTCTGTGTTCCTCCAATGAAACAACTGTGTTTTGGTTTCGTGTGTGATGGTGTGCTCTGTGCTTGACTGGCACCACGCCCAGGGTTGTCCCCAGAGTGCGAATTACCCCTCCATAATTGGGGGGTACTGCCTTCATAACACTTCTATGACCATTATGGTCCGCTATGATGTAATCAATACAGAAGATCTCATTATCCTTATCCCTGTCCAAAAGAATTTGGTTTTGATAACT